AAAAATAACTGAAGATTGGTTAAGATTTACTGATTATCAGTGACAATGTGATCATTATTAATTTGCCTAGATCGAAACTTAGCACAGATTCTTTTCATGCATTTTTCAGTGTGTGAAAAAGCTTTAAAATATCCCAGATATTAATATTAATATCCGTAGTTATAAAGTGTGAATGAAGATCTTTAGGTTCAACTATACTTAAAAGCTCAAAAAATATTTTTTAAGATACCTCATGAGCTTTTAATTATGTCAGGAGATTTTAAATATTCTTTTAAAAGTTCATTGAGCTTTCGAGTACATTAGAGGGCTCTAAAATATTTTTAAGAAGATTCAATGAGCTTTTGAGGAATGCTGATGGGCCTTAGGAATATTTTAAAAAGACCCAACGAGCTTTTAAGGGCCTTACATTTATTTTCTCTATTCTACATTAATCTATCCATTATTTTCGGTGTATTCCATTCAAAAAAAGACCATAGAAAAAAATATTTCAACCAATTTTTAATACTTAATTTATACTTTTTCACCATTTTCCATGCTCGACATACATTTATTTTGAATTTTTTTATAAAAATTCTATGAAATAACGATTTATATTTTCGTAATTAACTGTATTATAGTCTCTTAAACTACCCCTAAAAATGGTATAGAGTCAAAGTAGAACATTAAGAGGAACGTATGTCATGTTATATTAATATGATGTGGATGTGTAAGTTAACCTTGGTAAGTGTTAGCGACACACGAGGGGGCGTACACCCCGAGGCTTTTCACTGTCGGGGGTGTTCATTATATTCTAGCGATTCATTCCTTACTCCTCTCTTCTGTCTCATTCTCATTATTTTTACTAGTCCTTTCTACATATTCTTTTCAATGAGCCACGTGCCTCAACGCACCCTCTTGAGCTGATATCGTATTTGTACAACACGCACTATATACCTCATCCATTACTAAAATCTGTTGTTTGTATATTTTACACACTAGTATTTCGCTCTTTCGTTCCATCGACCAACTTTTTTATTCCAACTCTTGGCTCACACACTTATCCATTCAAAATTTTAGTCCATTATAATCGTGAAACAATACATTCGTTTCATTGGAGTATAGAAATCACCTTCTTTCATTACGCATCATCAGATAACGTGAGAAAAAATTGATTTTTCTTCATTTGTTTTTTATCTTACTAATATTTCTAACATTTATTATCAATCTCAATTTTTAAAGATTTTTTTTCTCATAATTATTAAGTGGCATAATATTATAAAATGCTTACAAAAAAATTTGAAAGCTTACACTGTAAATTTTAGTGTTTTATTTTAATTAACATTTAAAAATGTTTTAATATGACGTCACCCATTTGATTAACATTGCCTCGATTTTAAAACACTTAAACAACCCATGCAACAATATTACTATTATTTTACAATAAAAATCAATGCTATTAATAATTAATAAAATTAAGAATTAACATATTTTTCAGTTGACTTCATAAATTGATTATTACTAAAAAAAAATATTTATATCAAATTTATTACTGTCTTATAAAATAAAATTTTATCTTTATTTTAATTTTATTTTTTTTTAATAAAATATTTTATTGGATTAACCAGATCCTACTGTAATGGGTAAAAAATGTGTTAATATATGATTATTTTTCTATAGTTTTAAAAATTTTTTTATCATCTGGATGGTGTAATTTAATATAAGACAATTTTTTTTCTTTTAATGATGATCCAGTTTTCCAGTACAACCTGAACTCATGATTCCATCATGTTCTAGGTTCTTCATGTATTGAACTCGCATTTCAGCTACCAAGGTACCTATTCTAGTCTCCAGACCAACTATTTTTTAAAAGCACTTTCATCTGAATCCTATATGACATTTTTTATCCATTTTATTTAGTAGGATTGACTAGTAGTAAAAAAAAAGAATCCCAGTATCAATGGGTGATCATTACTACCATGACATGTCAACCAAAGCCACCACGCGCCTATTCCCACTCATGGGGTTGGTTTTCGAGAGAATGGCATTGAGGTGAGGGAGACACCACAGTTAAGAATAGCTTGGACGACTCAGACACTATTATAGGCGTACAGTTAGTTTGGCCACGTGCCCTTACAAGTGGTAAATTGCCATCATTTGCTTTTATAAAAGGATAGAAAAACTTTGAGTACTTTATTCTACGATGCACTTATCATTGCTATTGGAATCATAAACGTGACAAAATTCCACCTACTCAGCTAGAATCTCAATATCTTTTTGATACTCCAATTAATTGGGACAATATGCTATAATTGATCGACATCTAGACTAGTCAGTGCTATATCTTCAAACGTCAATGTAAAGACTTATTTGATAAACATTTTTTTAAACGCTCATTAAATAAGGATTAAATGCTAACAGAATATAGGATTCAATAGAAGCAAAGGACACAATTTCAAGCCACTAAGCTAGAGAAGCAGCATGAAGGGAGAATTCTGGAAAAATTTTATTGATTGCAGAGTAACTCATGTGAAAAAGAGTCTTGAGAGGGAGTCTAAGGAATATTTTTTGACAAAATAAAATCTATTTTTTCAATTAATTATTTAAAGTAATCATCAGAACTGAATTTATAAAAATGATCAATTTCTTTTAATAATTGTTATATAAGGTATATTTAATAATCAATAAACAATTATAAATTCTATATTGCCCTGACCTTCTCTGTAGCTTCAATACCTCCAACACCTAAAACTAATAATCAATCAAACCAACTATACTATCTTGTACTATTTTTAATTATCAAGATGATTATTTAATTATGAATTATTTAAGTATTGTAATACTAAGTATATTTAAATATAAAATGAATACAAATATACTTTTGACTTATTATTATCTTTATAAGCACTAAAATCAAGCCATTAAATACAAGCACACAGTGTTATTGTTGAATACCTGAAGCTTATGTTGCATCAAACTGGTAAATATTTACAATAAAAGTTAAACAAACAAGTAAGAGGAATATTAACAGGTGAAATGATGAAATGTCAATAGACGATTATAAGTTAGAAGCGTAGGAATCTTGATGATACATTAACACAAAACACATAGTCACAGTGTCAACAGTAAATACAAGAGGGGTGATACAAAATGACAAGCACAAGTGGAAGCTTCTCATGTCAATCGTCGTACGACACAAAGTGAACGGCATTCACTTTTCAAAAGCTTCTCTTTCATATGTTATCAGTAATTACAATTTTTCTTGTGTCACGATAAATATTTATCCAGACATTAAAGAATTTTATGAGCACTAAAAGGTGTAATAAATTGGTTATACATGAAAAAAAAGTAATCTGAGCGTTGAAAGAAAATTAATGGATTCCAGTTAGCAAAGAAAATGCCGAAAGGGGTGGAGAGATGCGTTATCGTTAGATGTCATAGTATGAAATACGAGGGAGCATCTTGTTGGCGTCCATTCCGCAAGGAACATTGCAGAACCAGAGGACTTGAAGTATGATGCACGAATGAGCCGGGGACACCCATGGAATGTCGACCGTAACGTCGGTAGCCGGCATTCTTTGTTGAAATAAATCGGCGCATTTAAAGAATTTACGAAGTAGTTGTGGCCAGCTACGGTTTTGCAGACGGAATGAGTTACGCTCGTCACTCACTAATCTCCCGCTTACCACCAATTGATATTCTTGTTTTCCCGTACTGAAAAAGACTTAAAGAAGTGTTATTGCATTTCACTGAATCGCATACCAAAATTTAATATTGTGTCATAAATTGACGGAATTACGGTAAGAAAGTATGCTGGTGCAGAAAGAAGAATTATTGGCAGTGGTTATTGGACTAAAAATAATCCTACTCGGGAGATGAATTTGTTTTTATTCTATTTTTGATGAATTGAGAAGCAAAAAGTGAATGAAAATGTTACTTCAATTTATGGGGAATTATTTTCAAGGAGTTTTCAAGTCTTATAATGATGGTTTGATTTTGATAAAATTGAAAATAAATGCCAATTTTAATTTAAAATTTCATGAAATATTTTTTTCGATTTGACACTTTTTTTACATTCAGTTCTGATGGTTATTTAAAATAATTTATTGACAAAAAAATTTTTATAGTGCTTGATTATTTTAAATATAATCATCTGAGTATTGAAATTCCCAAAAATTTTTTTTTTTTAACAATGAAATATAATGAAAATATTAAAATTAAGTGAATAATATTGTACATCGTAATAATAATTATATAAAAAAAAATCTAAATAAATTATAATAAATGTTAAAAACATTCAAAAAAATGCTCCAATTGTTTTTTATTTTAAATCAATTATTTAATTAAAATTTATAAAAGAAATCACCATATTATTTGTTGTATTTAAATCTCCCAATATAACCGTGTTTTTATGACCCCAACACATAATAGCAACAACTAAGTAACTGTTATTTAATGATTAATAAAAATAACTTACCGGAGGTAATTTGTTAGGCGATAATTACTACTATACTTTGGGTTTCGGCTTAATCCATGCCTCGATCGCCGGCACCTTTCGTATAAAATTTTTAGCTGATCTAGATGCAGACTTGAGACACAGAGGACCAATTTAGACATACCATCGAAATCGATTCAACTTAAAACCCAAGTCCCCGCACCTGCGCCCATCCCAACAAATTGGTGAAATAAATCCAACGATGTCGTAGAGATTCTCTTTCACCTTTCTGTTGATATCTGAAGGTTTTTTCATTTATTTATTTTCTTACTTCGACTTTTTCTTCTCTCCAATTCGATACCATCTATCAATATATTTACACCCCTTTTTCACTCCAAGTAGTCGTGACCAGTTAAGACAAATAAAGATGAGAAATACTTGCTTAATTTCTATTGGACCGAAAAAACATTTAAAACAATTGAGAAATGTCATGGTGATGTTTCTTTATATTCAATATTGAATCAAGAGTTACAATGTCTGTATTATAAGTTTATTTATCTAGAAAATAAGTAATAGTTAGTGATAAATCATGCATTGTGGTAGAAAAAAAGGCAAAAGTGGTGTTTATCAAATAGCAATAACTATAATTGAAGCAAAATATCTCGCTCAAAATGCCAATCCAATGGTTGTGGTTAAAGTTGGGAATCAGAAAAGAAAAACTGTCATACGAAACAGAACTGATTCACCATACTTTAATGAAGTATAAAAACTTCAAACATCAATAATTAATAGATTAATTAATATTGATTTCTTTTTTTTTTTTCTTAGTACTTTGTATTCAGTTTCACTGGTGATATACAAGTTTTTCTCAGTACAAGAATTTCTATCTCAGTTTACTTGAAACGTTACTTGAGGCTTCAATTTCATGGTGGAATTTCATTTGATGTTGCAACAGTTTGGGATCAACCAAGTGAGTTTTTTTTTTTAAATTTTAACACCTATAATTTATCTCAAAGATACCTGTAATATCTTTTATCGATAAAGTAGTACACATACTAATCATATAATGTTTTATATCATTATGTGCAGTTGGTATATTTTAAATCTGTTTTATCAGTAGTTAATAATTTACCATTAGTCGATAAATTAAATTCTTTTCCTTACTACAACAGATCGTGAATATTATCATAAATGGGCAATGCTGACAAATCCAAAAGATCCAACGGGAACTCCAAAAGGGTATGTCAAATGTAACATAGCGATTAATGTAAAGGGTGAAAAGATGCCGATTCATGCAGAAAGTGAAGGAGAAGAAGATATTGAAGGGTAAGTAAAAATTTAATTAATCATCAATGAAAAAAAATGCTAAACATTTAAAACATTTATTTATCTGAATGTTTGTGATATCGCTGCCCTCAAACTGATTGACCGATGCTATTTTTTCCCAATCTGGAAACTGATTAGATTAATCAGGATTATTTTGGACTCGGTTTGATAAATATCTGTCCGGTCATTTAAAGACCATCAGCTGTTTTATTCAGTTTTAGTGAGAATCTCAACCATGCAATAAATGTTTATTTGTATATTGGAGTTTTTTTATTTAATTTTGAATTCAACAATTCGTTGCTTTTTTTGATTCAATTGATATTATTCATTTATAAAAATATTAATTTTACAGAAACTTGTTGATGCCAATTGCAAATTTTTTTCCAATGGGTCGACAAAAAGCTCGATATATATTTTCTGTTTATCGAGCTGATGGATTGTCGAGTAATAATTTTAATTGTAGCTATGGGGAATTTGATAAAACAGTGAATCCATTTATTCAAATATCTTTTGCCGGATTGAAGGTATGAACAGTAGTCATTCTTCATAATTATATGGCTCATCTCACTCCATCACATTTATTACTTTACGTTTCAGTACATTTTGTAGTTCTACCAATACTATAAATAACCATCAACATATATTTCTATAGATGATCGATATGTCAGCGAGTTAAGGAGAAACATATTATTTCTCGTTTCCAACTATTCAAACGTGATAGAATGACATACATATATTTACACATATATAATATTTAGCATATCGATTATACTTAGATAGTTAGTCCAATATTTTTTTTGTTCTTTGTAAAAAATTGTTTTAACATGTTAACTAATCAGTTGGGGTAGATGATGTGATAGATATGATAAATTTATAAAATCATGTGCCCATAATATTTAGAGCACATTTTTCAGTACACTGAAATTGACATGGTATCATTTTTATAAATTTATTTGTTGACGGTTACTCAGAATAATTCATTGAAAAAGAACATATTTTTTGTTCGATTATTTTCAATAAAATATCTGAGTATTTATAATCCGTACTCCAAATTATAAAAATCAATGAAATAATTTTTTTTCTACTAAACAGTTATTGTAGAAGCTTTTGAAAGTACGCATTATAAAGTGGAGCTTTTTAAAATATTTTATACTATTTTATTTTAAAGTAGTCAAGTCATAAAATTGAGTAAACAATTTAATCTTTAAGTAAAGATTACTTAGTAAAATAAAATTGTATAAAAAAGAAGAATAAAAGCTTCAACTGCACCTTTATAAACTCCATCAAGAAAATTTGTCGACATTTTTTTTTTCTACAAAAAGCACAGCACAAAAAATCTAAAAAAGGAGATTAAATAATGTCTTTTTCTGATGTTGCTGTTCACTACCTTCATTCTTACATTTAATTCGCTTTTCATACTTATTACCATAAACACGTAATATTTTTACTCTTCACAATTTTACCACTATTCATCTCTTGCAAAGCTAGAAAAAATAAACATCCAACTTTTAACATTAAAATGTTTACAACTGAAATTTGTTTTATTAGATAATAACAAATTTTTATGAGAGTCCAAGAATAATATAATAAAATGCTAGAATTAGATCTTTTTTTTCTACTGGAAAATCTTGTGTACCATAAACAGGACCATTCACGTAGAATATGAAATTACAAAGTAAGAAACAAAAACACACTCTTTTAATAAACAAAATTTTAGGGAGAAACAAGATGGCATACTAGAACACACACGGCTTGTTTTTATGAAAAAATCATTTTTACGGAAATGTTTCCACCATTATCCTATCGAGTTAGAATCGCCATAAAACATAAAGTTGATAGCTGTAGATCCACTGTGCTTGCTACTAATATACTCAGCTTAGCAAAGCTGTCCAATTCTGGAGAATATGGTGAGTATTAATAACAGCTTTCTAAACCTACAATTATTTTATCAAGATAAAATATTATTTATAATCAACATTTAAATATGGATAAAAAGAATATAAACTTTCAACATAAGTTTGAGTATCAGTTGGTCTCCAACTTGGTAGCATAGTTTTAATCCTGTCTTCAAAAGTGTAACTAAGTTAATCCAGTTTGATTTTCCATCAAGTTGAAGTTAATGAACATGTCTAGGTGAATTTTTTGCTAACTACTTGGATATAGAGCCTTAAAAACGCTAGGATGAACCTTTTTCTTTGTAATGATGTTTTATTTTCTTATCTACCTGATAGGGTTCCTACCGACTTATGGTCCATCATTTATTCACTTTTACAATGGTGACAGCGTGGATTCAAGGAGTCATTGTGCTAGTAAGTGTCAGGTCATGCGACCTATTTATCAAGGCAGAGTGCTTCTTTCTCTGAAGACAGAAATTGATGATTCAGGATCACCTATCATTTCTGGAGTGGATACTGAGCCCATTGCTCCAATTATCGAGGTAAAACTCAATTACTTGGATATCACATTGTTCAAAAAGTTGAAATTATTTGTAGATTGATTGATGTTATTGCAATATGAAAGAGAAATTAATCTATACTTTAAGTTGATAAGAAAATAGTGAAATACCTACAATAACTTTTTATTCCACTCTTTTTTTAATAGTCTATAAACTTTAATCAACAGTCACCATATGCATCAATGATTTGTGTTCATCATAAACGTTCTCTATGATCACTAGGATTTATTGAGCCTGGGATATTTATTTAAAACTTGGAACATTTTTGTAGCGAAAGTTATGGAGCACAGAAGAATATTTACTTGTTGGAATCATCTATGATGCTTCGATGATTGATCGTTCAAGATTCATGAAAAAGTCTATAAGCTTTGAAATTAACATTGGCAATGCTGGTAGTCATATCTTTCCTCACAATGTAGAAACTTATGACCATGTATTACGTGAGTAACTTATTTTACAAATAATATTTTGACAGATGATCAAAAACCAAGCTAATATATAGCTATTATAATTGCCAATGAATATTAAAATTTTAACATATCGTTGTACAACTTGCACTTTAACGATCAAGCTTGCTCTAATAAATTTTTTTTAAATTATGCTTATGTTTTGTCTGACTTTCGGTTGGGTCCTTAAGTAAAAACTATGGATAAAGTGTAGTAAAACAAAATTTATCACAATTTTGTGGGATAGTTTTAATGATTGCTAGAGTCATTGACTGGTGGATCAGATAAGTCCCTCTGACGTCAGTAGTGACGTACCAAGATCAAGGTATTTTCATTTCTAGAAAGTTCTAAGCACTAATGACGTCATAAGTGTAAGTGACAAGTTTGGACAGGTTTTAACAAGTTCATTCCTGCATTCTTTTTTATGAATAGATCATTTGTAGCAACTTCTCTCAAAGACCATGTTAATCTTCACAGCATTCATAAAAAAATAATTTTAAAAAAATATTTTAATAAAAACTTATTTCGATTATGATGACACCCACTTCTGTATTGCATTATCCAGTTAAAATAAGACTGAAAAAAAATTCCAATACATCTGTTTAATTTTCTTTCTATTATTAGATACATCGTCATACATAGCTTTTTATTTTATATAAAAGTACAAAGGACTTAAATAATATTAGAATAAATATATTAGAATTTTCCTGACAACTGTAACAGTAGTTGATTCCATTTTCACTACTCGTGATACCGGATCATAAATGCACCGTATAATACGTATATAAAAATAGAAAGATTTTATTATATACGAAAAAAATTAAAAGAAAGACAACACTACAGAATTTTCATGTATTGGAGCACTAAATATAATTTTTAATATATGTGAATAAATATATGGCTTCTATGCATTTTTACATAACGACAAGCAAGTGTCTGCTGTCGTTCCCACCGTAATACTGTAAATATAGACGATCATTCAACGCTAATTTCTTATACCAGAAAAATGGTCTGTCATATTCTACCTTCGATGCATTAAGTGTGGTCTTTGGTAGAAGTATTTGAATATCATAGTCAAGTGTTGCAAGGAATTTATTCCCAACTATTGTTGATATTATATTCAAATCTGTTACTTTATATCTTCGGAACACGTCCAATTCATTTATTCTTTTCGACATCATCTTCAGGCTGATTGTTAATTCAATCTCGATGTATAATCTATATATCATACGAAAATAAGATACCGGGAAACAACGATGCGTACTGCACGACAATCGAATTATTTCTTATCATATATAGAGATACAGGTATCTCGTTCGTTGCATTACTTAACTGCTTTTCCTGAAAACTCTGTTGGAATATAGATACAAAATAAATTCATTACTATCATATCCTATGAAATTAGCGCACATCTCAATTCTTCAAGCTCGTTGTTATTTCATTCCTGTATTAATATATGGATCAAAATTGCTTTTCACCAAGATAAATAATTTGCGTATTGAATATAAACGCGAATTATTGACATTAGTTAGGCCTATTGGATCAGGAGAAAATAAAATGGACAGAAGTGGCATAGAACCTATATGTCAGAGTTAGGCCCCTTCCTCTTTTTTGGATCGATGAGAAAAAGATCAATACAGATTTTTAGATTTCATTTTGTGGTAATGTACTCTGCTGTATGGCCTTGAGCATAATGTAGTCAAAATATGCTTGTCAAACAGCGGAGTTCGATGATAAGTTTTGGCAAAAATTTTTCCGAAATTCTTAAACTCAATATGATGCGTAGATTTTCAACTAAAGCACAAATTGTTGCTTTGTTGATGGAAGATTGAAATTTTAGACGAAGCAATTTCTATATTAAAAAGATAAATACCGTTTTTCTTGTAAAATACAGAAGTATAGATAAATACTTCTTATAGGCTCATGCAATCCGGATACTTGAGTAAGAACGATCGCTGGCCGAACAGAGGCCGAACAACGGCTACTCAGTTTTTTACGGGTGTACACGGGCTGCACAGAATATAAAGGAATTGATAGACTGTAAACTTGGATCTACGAAATCAAATTTTAGATGAAAGATCTAAATCGTATGCTTGGTCTTATGGCTAGCTGTATTAGCACAAAAATGATATAATATGCAAAAATTTATTTAAATAAAGGACGTTTTGTCAATTTTGCAATAACGTAATTTTTCAAACATTGGAAAGTACCCTTCATACACTAGTCGACAATACAACAGCTTTCACAATTTTCAAAACATATTATTGTTAAAAAATTTTTTGATTAATCAATTAAGTTCTCAATCTTTAGAGTGAATCTTAATTCATACGATAATCATAATATAATCAGGACTTACATTCATTATCAAATGGTTCTCATTTATTACAGACACACATGTCTGTAATACACGTATCTTGCAATTTAAATATCAGATAAAGTTATCAACTCTCAGTAGTTTACTCCATAGCCCTGCGGCTCGTCCGTGGGGTCCTGGCTTTTGCAAATCTGAGTTCGATCCCAATCAAAGCCAATTTTTTTTTTTTTTTGCTTTTATCAATTCTACTAAATGTTAAATGATTCTTTTTTAAAATTTTTTACTCACTAGAACAAATTTTGATTAATAAATTATTGAATGATTTTTGTTGACTAACGATTGATGACAATATAATACGTGTACTTTGCGAGTTAAATGCGAAATAAAGTGAATTGCTCATACACATTGTCGCCATAGCTCTGCGGTTCCCTCTTCGGTGCGCCGTGGGGTTCTTGGCTTTTGCAAATCTGAGTTCGAATCTCAAAAAGGTTAATTTTTTTTTTTCTCTATTTGTTAAATTTATTGTTATTAATATTCTACTAAATGAAAATAATTTTGAAAATTCGTTACTATTTAATGACTTTCTTTAAAGCATTACATTTGTTAACAACAATTACTCACAGTAGAAGTTGTAACTTAAATAGAATGAAAATTTTATCAACATGAATTTATTTGTAAAGCTCACAATACTCATGAGCAATGTAAGCAAGCTCGATAGCAGACATGACCTAACAGAATGAATTCTAAATATGGCAAAGTAGAAAAGCTTACAGTGAAACCTGAAATTGAAGTGCATAGTTGGAGTAAATCCTAAAATCCGAGTTTAAATTTTGCAATACTAGTCTTTATTTTTATTTTACACAAAAAATTTAAGAACTGCAAGTATCCATACTAAGGAATTGTTTCGACAACACGTGAATTTAACCAATTTAAAATAGAAATGTATATGTATGATTCACAGACAACGTAATTGTTGAGAAACGTCCTGATTTTGAAAGCAGCTCTACGCCAAGATTAATGACTACGACAGATGGCAAGTTTAATTACCTTCCTATTGGATCCAATAAACCTTGCTTGTACGTTAAATCCTGGTGGCCTAACTTACAATGGAGAGTCTCTAACTCCAACATACTAATGTATATTCATAATTTTCTGGTAAGTAACTAGTTCATAATAAACTTCACTCAACATGGGTGTATAATTGTTAATAATCATATAAAGAATAAGAATAATTTAATAATAAATATCAAACAATTACTCACCTGAAACCTTTCTCTGATTCATTTGGCTAAAAACAGTTGGTCCCCTTCGCCATCTAGAGACGTTCTTTTTGGTACTCAGGTGCATCCAACCTTTTTTAGAGCGATTATGAAACCCAAGTAATTCTGGTTAACATTAAATGTTATAACCCCATTAAAAAACACCAACAACAGCTTAACAGTTGATGCTTTTTAATTAAAATGACTACGAATGTCTCTAAATGTGAAAAAAAGCTATAATGCTTGCATTTAAAAATCCACAAAAAAATTTACTTGCTTTTTTTGTAGTTATCTTAATGAGTAGGTGTAGATATTAATGATAGACTCAAGTATCACATAGCACATTGAACCACCTTGAATATTAATTAATTAAAACCATTTCAGGAAGATAAGCTGAGCAAATTGGAGATGCTTATTGCAGTAGGAAATCCCACAGTATACGAAACTTATAATGATATTATTGAATCGTTGAAAGGTTACTGCATGCAATACCTCCAGATATTGGATACGGAAACATTTTATGAGAGTGGTGGAACCACAAAATTAGACAGGCATCGGGTTAATCTTTGTCGTAATAGCATTCAGGATATTGTCAAAATGATTGATATTAATGGAAAACTACAAAATAACAATTACGTTAAAATTGCCATGTTGCATGCTTATAAATACTTAAGGAAAATTTATGAGATATCTGAAGATGTAATTATAACATTTTTTTTTACAATTTTATTGCTTGGAAAGTCAACATCAAAATTTAGATGACATTCATTGTTTGAACTATTATTGATCTCCAGCCACAGCACAGTTTTCCTGATATTTTCATTTGGATGGTGTCTGATAATAAACATGTAGCATTGGCACGTCTACCAGCATCAAAAATCATTTATTCAGAACAGTCAATGTCTTGTGGACCACAGTGTGGACAGAGAGTCAATTTATTTATGAATAATATTGATGAACACTCTGGAGTTGTGGATTATAGTGCTTGCAATATAGAAATATTTTTGTGGTTTGGAAACATTAAATTTTCATCAGCATGTTGGGATGTTATACCTGAAGGGTATGATGCTAACCAGTTCATAAACAGTGAAACGTTTCCAAGAACTTTGAACTACGTTGTGACTCGGGTAGAGTAAATTTCATATGTTTGATTTGAAGTAATAAAAGTTTATTATTAATTAAACAATTGTAAAAATGACTATTAATTCATTGTAATATTGAAATTTATTGTTCCCAAATAAATATTTTATGACCTATTCTAACAGAAATTCCAACTTCGTGCTCACATTTTCCAAGGTCGCTTTGATTCAGGACTAGATCCTTCAGGTTTGATGGATCCATTTATTCGAGTAATGTTCCATGGATATACTGCTACGACAAGAGTATGACTTTCTTCAAAAATTTTACTCCAGCAATTTTTAGTTGAAACAAAGTCTAATCAATGTTTTCTATTCAGTCAATTAAACAAAGTCTGGCTCCTGTTTGGGATGAAACTCTAGTATTTCCGTCAATCAAGTTATACGGAATGAAGGAAAGTATCAAATCAATGCCTCCAAGGGTCGTGATTGAAGCTTTCGATTGGGATTTATGCGTACGTGCTTTCAAGCTTTATATTCAATTCAAATAAACGATTGAAGATGTGTGAGTGATTTGTAATAAAATTATTTACAACTGTCAAACTATTTACAATGATAATTAGGGAGCCCAAGAGTTCTTTGGAAGATGCGTAGCTGTTCCAGTTGTCAATTTTCAGGATGAGCCATATTCTCCACCAGATTTCCCACCGACTTTGACTTGGTATAATCTTCTCACGGAATTAGACTTTCAAGGAAGCGTACTAGCAGCTTTCGAACTCATTCAAGTAAGCTTCAATTGGTAATTTATTTGAATTATGGATTTATTTAATTAATGAGCACAAAGTTTTATGAATATCATCTCAGCTTTCATCTTACCTCTTTTTTTCTCTGCATATATGCAAAAACTAAAAGATTAATTGTTCTAAGGTTGATATATATTGACAGTTTACAGCAAACAATAAATTCATTAAAAAATTTATAACCTCATGTTTATTTTTTTCATTATTTGTAAGTAAATCTTACTAATTTATTTCATATGATTTTTGTTTATTAGTTGCAAATTTGGTTTTCATAAACATATCTTGCAATTTAAATATCAGATAAAGTTATCAACTCTCAGTAGTTTACTCCATAGCCCTGCGGCTCGTCCGTGGGGATATGGTTTTGCAGATCAGGGTTCGATCCCAATCGAAGCCAATTTTTTTTTTTTTGCCTTTATCAATTCTACTAAATGTTAAATAATTCTTTTTTAAAATTTTTTACTCACTAGAACAAATTTTGATTAATAAATTATTGAATGATTTTTGTTGACTAACGATTGATGACGATGTAATACGTGTACTTTGCGAGTTAAATGCAAAATGAAGTGAATTGCTCATACACATTGTCGCCATAGCTCTGCGGTTCCCTCTTCGGTGCGCCGTGGGGTTCTTGGCTTTTGCAAATCTGAGTTCGATTCCCATTAAAGTAGATTTTTTTTTGTTTATAAATTTTTCATCGATAATTGCGTACCATTTGATTAAATACTCAGTATTACTGTGTTAAGTTTTATGTGATTCAATTGTTTTGTTTAATTCATTTTTGATGAATCCAATAAAATTTTTACCACTGACTTTTTCAATTTATTTTTAATGTGAAATTTTAAAAATGTCAAATTAATTAATTCTAAAATATTATTTCATCATCTACTATAAAACCTTTTCTTACAACGTACCAATTTTTTTACACTAAAAATCGAGTAAAATTGACTTAATTATACTCCGAAATTGTAGTTGAGATGATTTGCATATTCAACTACAAACTCCTACTCTTATCCAGTTTTCAAACTTCACTTCAATTTCAAAGTAACCAGTTGGACTATTTCAAGTAGTATAGAGTAATTGAATTTATTTTATTTTACACTGATAAAGACTAAGTGAATGTTAAGTTTGAGTGAATTAAAGATTACGTAGTCAGAAAAACTTTAGATTAATTGATTTATATTAATAACTATGACTTTAAAAAGATGTCATTCATCATATTTCTCTTTTTTAAGTAAGTTTATTAATGAATAAAATCAAATAATAATGGTCTCAATAATGTGCAGATATAATTGATATTTGTTTTCTGTTCATGTTCATATAAACTATCAAAATATTGAGCTTCGGATCATTTGTTTATAAACTAATAAGGCTGTATCAAAATTTTTACAGCCTTCACACGCCAGTAGCAAAGTTGAGTAGCCGTTGTTTGGCCAGCGATCACTTTTACTTGAATATCCGGGTGGTATAAGATTGTAAGAAGTAGTCTATCCATGCTTCTCAAACAAGAAAAGACTTGTCTGAAATTTTAGTTCATTATTTTCTAAAAAATTTTTTATACTATCGTTAAAAGCTTACGCATCAAGTAGCTTATCATTAAATCTTGTAGTTAAAAAGCATTGGTTGACTTCAATGTATTCCAGGCGACACATGTACGCCTTCTGTCTTCATCTTTCCCATTGGAAAGAGTGAGTAAGAGAAAGATTCCGGGACTTACATTGAAACTTAGCGTTGATCTTTCTCTCATCGATCTAAAGAAAGAAAGGGGCCTAACGTTAACATATATATTCCATGCCACTTCTATCAATCTTATTTTCCCCTAATTCAATAAGCCTAACTAATGTCAATAATTCGCGTTTAAATTCAATATGCAAATTATTTATGATTGTAAAAATTAATTTTAATAAATATCTGAATAAGATGAATATCCATAAAACAATTAAACTATTTCGATTAAATGAGTACACAAAAAAATATTTGAGGTGAAAAGTGTTAGTAATAGAGGGGGGAAAAAGTTAGGCAAATGTGAAAAACGATATGTATAAATGCAATATAATGAGATGTAATCAAAAAACAGATCATAATTGATTCGACTGTCGTGCGGTCCAGGTCGTTCACTCTAGTACCTCATTTTTATATATCGAGATTGAATTAACAATCAGCTTGAAGATGATGTCAAAAAGAATAAATGAATTGGACGTGTTCCGAAGATATAAAGTAACAGATTTGAATATAATATCAACATTAGTTGGGAATAAATTCCTTGCAACACTTGACTATGATATTCAAATACTTCTACCAAAAAACACTCTTGGTGCATCGAAAGTGGATTACGACAGGCTATTTTTCTGGCATAAGAAATTAGCTTCAAACGATCGTCTATATCTTCAGTATTATGGTGGGAACGACAGCAGACACTTGCTTGTCGTTATGTGACATTGCATGGAATCATGTATGGTAAAAAAATCATATTCAATGATCAAAGACATATCCTATATGAGAAAGATCTTTGCTTCCTAGCTAGATGACGTAGTGAAGAGAGATTTTGTCGACTTCTTTATCACATAGTATCATAGAAAAAAAACTATGTGTCTTTTTTCTATGTTATTCATGAATAGGCCTGGACTTCGAGGCTCTTTTACTACTGCTAGCGGAGCTTACCATTTGATCTATCAGTCGATGCACATCTCCAATAACCATTTCAACCTTAAACTTGCTACTACACTACTCCTAAAACATTATAACAAATAACTTTACTCGTTTTTTTTTCGTGAACGATTTCTTTTGTAATGTATTTATAAATAATGTGAAATAGTGAATAAGTGAAATATAAGTGACAGTGGTAATCAATACAATTAGATAAACGTTATAGTTATAAAATTAGGTTAAAAACATATTATCTATTATCTTATTTAATCCTGTTTACTTTTATATAACGATAAAAACTATGTGAAACTCAATTTAATTAAAGATTCAGTAAATAAATTTATTTAATACAATACAGAATTGTGTTTGATCATGGTATAAAATCCTCAAAATCATCTAAGCAAAATGTCAGAGATTACGCTGTAATTTTTTGAGTACATATGGTGCATTAGAAAATAGGGCGTGGTCCAAAATTTTGGTAGCATTCGTTAATTATGTTTTGGTTGATCTATAATATTTATCTGTTTTGTTCCACCAATATATGTGAAGATTTCTGAACATTAATCTAATTAGATTAATTACTAGGCGATGGTGAAAAATACCATTAGTATAAACAAATATAAATTCTTGGTCCATGTATTATTAAATGAAATCAAAGACTCAATCTTCTGTTTACATCTCTCTCAGATTTATTATCTAGTATATGATAACGAACTGGATTTATGTATAGAGAATATACTCTTAGCATTATCAACTGCTTGCTAGGTGTGCTTCTCAAAGCCTCAAGTTTCTACACAGGCGCTGAAAACTCATGCGCGTGCGCATGCGTAATAGATGATTAATCAAGGCAAAATACGATATAACGGAATATACGTCGTAAAAAAATCATTATCGATTCAGCAGCCAAGCGATACGGATCGTCTCTTCTAGCTCTGTGCATAGATATCAAGATACTGATAAGCATCAAGATGGTGACGCAAAAGAGAACTAATTTGGAAACATTTTACGAGTATAAAGTGACGAATTTAAAATTGATCGAATTAACATGTGGAAAAATCATTGCTGTAACTATTGAAGATGATATCTATATAATCCTTCCAGAAGGAGTTATAGGCTCATTGGAGACAGATGACGGTAGATTTTCCTGGTTACAAAAATCAGCTATGAATAATCATCTATATATCAAATATTATGGCGATAATAAATATGTGTTTTTCCATAAAAAATAATAGATAAGCGTTCATTTATAAAAATATGGTAAGGAAATCATCTCAATAAGGACAAATGCTCAAGTGAATCTTCTATCCCATATGGAAGTGTAACTGTGATTTTTGGACGTTCAGATGATCATCAAACATAGGAGAGAGAAAGAGACAGAGATCATTTGCCGTTTGGATCATGTAGTGAGGGGTAATTCTGACTTTTCGGACTTTCCTATTATGTATACTGGTAGGAAAGGTTCGACTACCCCACTACTGCCAACGGGACTTACCTGATCCACCACTACAGATGCCATTGTTAAACAGCCAATCAAATTTCAGCATGAATTTACTATATCTATTACATCATAAATATCAGTAAAAGTGACATAATTTATATATCTCATCCGCTTATAATCAATGCAAAAAATTTTTACTCTGATTTACTTATACATACATATATAATGTATGTAAACATTCAAATGATCTCGACTTAATGTTAAGAAAAAAATATACTAAATTTGTCTTATCTACATAAAAATAAATAATTTTATATAATCATGTGTGTCTATCAATAAAAAACTATCATAAAAAAATGTGTTTATTTTATTATATTCTATGGCTATTTTTTACTGAAATTGTATACATTTCTATGAATACATGAATGATTTCAGTTTGATTAATTTTTATTTTAAATATATCCTTAAGGGTAGCTGTTTAATGATTTCAACGTAAGTCGTCTCAATATTGATAATATAAGTTTGAGGTTAGATTCATGTTAACATATCATAATAATTAGATCATAATTATACTACTGTTCGTGTCGTTAATAAAAAAAATATGAATAACAATTGATAAAGAAAATACGCATTTCATAGTCTGTTTAAGTTAAAATAAACAAGAGAAATAATTATATGAAACAAATAAAATCATGTATGAAATATATGTAGTCAATTCTTCTCATATATGATCATGTCTACCTTTTTTCCTCAGGTCGTAATGAATAATAATAAGTTATTGATCTACAAATATTAGTAGCATTGTTGACCAAAACTTAATTTAAAAAAAAGAATAGATTACCCATGTTGTATTCCCAATGACTGGACGATATTTTATTTAAATCTATTCGTTTATTGTCAAGTAAATAGGTACACGATATTACAGAATATTTGTTGTATGAGCGATCTAGAAGATCTGAGTAGTTCAGATGATAGATTCTAAGTAAGTCTCTGGATATTGAAGGAAGGAGCTTTATTTAAAGGGCTGACCCGAAGGTCCAGGAGAAGGGTTGAAGTCTAGCTTATAGGGTTAAAGGAAGTGTTTTTATGTGAGTCCAAGGTTCATACTTTAGAAATCAGGGATGATATAAAAAAGGGTTTTCGGTGAAGGACTTGGAATGCATATAAAAACTAGATTTTCCCTGTAGAGGAATCTTAACTTTCTAAAACTATAAAACTAATGTTTCTTTAAAATTATAAGTATATAGGTAAGGTATATAACACCCAGCATCACGACACTTAATAAAAAAACTTGCATACAACAAAGAATTGGCTGACCAAAGCAGCTGTAGAAAAAATTTTGCAGTTGAGAAACTACAACCACTTCTTGTCTGTTATATAATACTTCTTCTTACCACTTGTACAAATTTTTACAAAAGATACTTTCAAAGTTGTTGGTCTATAAGTTAAATGTTACTTTTTTAGAGATAACTTTTTATTCGTACACTTCTTTTATTATATCTTTTCTTTATTTTATGCTTGGAAGGTAACAGAGGCTGATGAAGAATCTTCTACAGATATCAAAATTTATAATCTGCCTGATGATATCCGTCCCACTATGAGAAGTCATCGACTTGAAGTGATTTTTTGGGGTGTAAGAGATCTGAGAAAACTTTATTTCAACAAAGTGACTCGACCTCAAATAATAATAGAGTGTTCAGGAGTCCATGTCAAGTCTGAAATAATGAAAAATGCGAAAAAATTTCCAAACTTTCATCATTCTCATGTCGTCATTGAATTGGTAATTAAAGTTTATTCTTACACATAGGATCTAATGGAGATCACTTCTTGAAGGTATTTTACATCTAAAATTTATCAAAATGGTATATATAACCTCAAAAAAATAAATGACTACAAACTTAGCATATTTCGCCCTCTATCTTATGTTGATCACGTTAGATTCTATAATTATTTGATGAAATCTATCTTCTGAGACTAATGTAGACTAAATAGTCTCAATGAAAAATCGAAAATTCATGTTCACATAGCTGTGGTATACATGTATGTATATGTATAAACCCATTAGTCAAAGATATCAATCCTATCGATAAATCTACATGCACATAATTCGCTTACACATTTTACTTTATCACATCATCAATCGAAAAAGCTCATGGTAAATCAAAGTGAGGACACAGTCGGAATTTTTTTTTTTCGTATAAATATGTCTGCAAAGTGCTGCCACCTTTAGGCTTATTGGAACACAATTCCCACAGTATTCAGATAAAGACACAATGCTGAATAAAATTCCTCAAGACGATTATTTAGGTATCAAAAATTTTTTTGATTGATTTAAAGCTCAAAATAAATCAATGAACACCACTGAGATGATGAACTAATTACTGACATGATGAAAAAATAATTATTAAAATGCAATAAATTATTTCTTAACCTTTCAAGCAAAGTTAATTTACAGTGTATTTGATGATGTTATTTTCTTTACAACAGGATTTGCCTGAACAAGATATTTATTATCCTCCAATCACCATCCAAGTCTTTGATTTCCGGAAATTCGGTTGTCTAAAATATGCTGGTGTTTGCATCGTACCAACAGCTCATATTTTTCTTGAAGAATTAATCACTGAAGCGGAATACAATTATCTAATTTATGGAGAAGAAGTTGGTGAGACTTTTCAACGAAAATCGGAATCAGAGCTGATATGTAAGTAGCCTATGATTATCTTAAAAATGATGATAAGTTGAAACTTTCATCCATGTATATTTTTAGTACCACTTCCAATCGATTATGATCCTGAGGAAGAAGAAAAGAAAAGTTTGATTAGTTATGAAAAGGTTCCAAAAGTGGATCGTCCTTCTCGCATGATGAAGATTTTAGATGTTACAAGAAAATTTTTATTTGATAGCAGAGATCAAGAGAAAAATGAGGAAGAAAATTATGGAAATGATGAGGATGAGAGTTATGACTGGTGGAGCAAATATTTCGCATCCCTCGAGGTCTTTCCTTGGAAAATTTATTTCAAAAAATACATTTTTTATTCCCTCACATCACTATATGTCATGCTTATTATTTTCTCAGATAAATTTGTGTTATATTCTTCCAGAGGTTTAACTAGGAAATGTCAGTAATATATTTTTCTTCTTTTATCTTTTCAGGAAGAGAAAAATCGAGAGCTCGGAGAGAAAAAAGTTATTGCTCCTGGTCAAAAACCAATTGCTACTTTCAAGGTAATATAGTTTTTCAAGATAACGTAGCATTAAGTGTTTGGAATTTTATTTACACAATATGATGTATGCTTGAATGAATAACGTCTGAAATATTAAGGTAAAATGCTATATGAAGAGTGAGTGGAGTTATTTTTTTTTTATCTTCTAAAAAATAAATTAATATAAATGTCACTAGTTTACCAATTGATTTTTTAAGAGTACTTAAAAAATTTTCATTTATAAGCATCAATCTCTATCAACAATATACCAACTTTCTTGAAAAAACGAACCTTTTTCTTCTTCAATGAATCCTAGATTTATTCATCGGAGCTTGAGATGCAACCAGAGTTTGAAGGATTCCAAGATAAATTAACGACATTCGAGCTATCGAGAGGAAAAGAAACCGGCGATTCGGAACAAGATGAAAAAAACTATGCTGGTAAATTTAAGGTTTGTTGAATCTTCATTATTTCCACCAGGAAACACATCAGCATCAACATTAATGAAACGAATTACTTTATTTTCCAATATTCAATACTCAATTAACAACTAATTAAATACAATTCCTTTGAAACTTTTCTCCAATTATCTTCATATTTTCTTGATGACACCAAGAATCTGTTTGTGTAAATGTTAGTTTCCACTGATGCTAAATGTTTGGATGTCAGCCAAACACAAAATAATTTGATAAATTTAGATCTGCCAAATTTAATTCATTCTGTTGTCACACTAAATTTGAAACATATGACCTTTAATGATATAATTGGTATCCATTTCACTACAATCATAATATTTAATTCAATAATTGAGAAAAAGATCAAAAGATTAGTTAATTGATTTCATGATATAATTTATAAAATAATTAAATATTTTATATATCGATTCATTTTAATTACAGGGTCATATTTCAATTTATCCATGGCCTCATCCGGATAATCTTGGATGTAAAACTAAAAATGGATGGAGTGTGTCAAGTGGATTTTTAGCAGATTATCCGCATCAGGAGCCAGTAAAACTCATTGTCCGACTATATGTCGTAAAAGGTACAATATCTGTTATTTATAAATTTAATGATTCTAAAATCTTCATGACTACTTTCAGAAAAGTAGTTATATATTATTAGAAATGAAATATATCAATACCTTGACTGATAATAGTTTTAATTTAATCGTATTAGTTGTGGTCACTTACATTATTATCTTTCATCACTGGATTGAGATTGGCATGGAGTGAAAATGTATTGAGTGGCCCAATCAGCTCGAGATTAACGTGACTAAGTCAGTCATTTGTCTAAAGCCTTTAAGATCGATTATCGATTGGACTAATTTGTTCATATTCTATGAGGAATTATGTAATGAGTTAATAAGATTATCTTTGATTTTTTAATCAACATGACATACTTCTAGAGATGTTATATTTTTTATTTAAATCTAGAGACATTAATTAAGCACTAAGATTAAATTTAGAATAGAAATTTTTAAATTAATGAATATTACACCATATTATGTACTACAATCATCCCTTTCACTGAGCTTTCAGCTCTACAATTCAATCAACGAGACAATTATTAACCATAGGACAGAGTGAAGAGTAAAATTCATTAACTACTCTCAATTATAATCCTTCAATTATCCTAGCAATATAGGAAACTTTCTTGTAGGGTAAGAAATAATTACTCTAAAAAGTCTCAGATCAATCGGTTCACTGATCTATTAGAGCTTACCGTTAAAGTGCCAATTTATTTTCACGCTTTAATTCTCTCCATTTACTAGCACACATCTGCTATATCAGCAAGTGGATTTTTTTATCATAAAAAAATTAATTGAACTCACAATTTTATTATTTTTTTTCTAGGAATCAATTTACATCCTTGTGATCCATTGACAGGAAAATCTGATCCATATTTAAAAATCAAGCTTGGAAAAACTACCATCAATGATCAGAAAAATTATATACCCAATCAACTGAATCCTGTTTTTGGCAAGTAAGTATCCTACATGTTGTATTGATAGAAAAACAAATTGATGAATAATTTGCAACTTTTTGCTTTGATGATCCATTGAATCAAATTATGTAAGTTTGATGTAAATGAATGAATTTATAGATGCTTTGAAATCGAAGCAGAATTTCCCAAAGATCATACCTTAATTATTCAAGTGTGGGATTGGGATGCAGCGTCAGTTGATGACTTGATTGGTGAAACACAAATTGACATTGAAAATCGATACTACAGTGATCATCGTGGTCACTGCGGTATTTCTAGAACATATAGCACATCCGGATATAATGCTTGGAGAGATCGTGAGAAACCAATGCAAATTTTAGAATCACTTTGTAGAAAAAATAAATTACCTATGCCAGAATTCTCACATTTAAATGCAACAATTGGAAAACAGAAATTCACTTTCTCAACAAGTTTGGATCTCGTTGGAGAGTCAGGTAACGTGAGAAATGGGCTATCAGTTTAAAGTTCTTGCTTAGTCTTGAGATAGTAACATCTATCATGAATTTCACAGATCTATTATGAATTCTTCACTATTCTATGAATTCCAAAGAAATATTTTTAAAAATTCAAATAAGATAGATTGGTTGAACTTTATACCATCAAATATTCGTAGAAAAATTGATACAATTTGTTCTTTATTTATTTATATTATTGCTTCAAAGAAGCATCAGTAAAGAAGAGAATAGACTTTGCTCCTTAATTGAACAATTGATTATCAATAGAATGTTCCAATTAGTCACTTTGAACTATTCTAATTCCCCTACACATAAGATAGGTAATGATGTCCATGGTAGATGCTATTCTATATTTATATCCATAAATATTATATATTCATCATAAACGATCATGCATGAATATGGATGAATGGATAAAGTAAAGTTATCAAGTATCACATCTTGCCCCAGTTTCATATACTGCAATATTTAAAAGATTTCAGCTTTATGCTTTTCTGATACCGTAAAATTGATCATCATTAAACAGAGTTATCTCAAATAATAGCATACATGATACCTTAAGCTTATGAAGTTTATGATTTCATATTTTATATATATACATCATTTTAACGAAGAAATATAATTCACTCACTTGTTTTAGAGAGACAAGAGTGTATGGCTTTACACATTCTTCATCACTGGCAACAATTTCCTATTTGTGGAGTGGCATTAGTGCCTGAACATCTTGAAAGAAGATCACTTTTCAATGCTAAAAAACCAGGACTTGAACAAGTAGGTTTGATCTGATTAAATACTGATAAAAATTTTTATATCAGCACAACTTTTTGTGGTTTTAAATTTATTCTTCTAATTGATTTTTAAACAGAGCTTTTTGGAGTAAGTTAATGAAACCATAGATGTCCACACTAGTAGCTTTCTGATATTTGTTCCATGTATTTTTTCATTCTTATCAACATTTTTTTCTTTTTTAAATTAAAGTAGCAATTTTTTTAATCTCGATTTTATAAAAAAATTATAATAAGAATGCTTGAGAAAGTTTGATAGAAATATATTATTTTTAATGATATAAAAATGGTAGAACTAATTCTACTGAGAATTTAATAGCATTATATTGACGTTAACACGCACTGACTGCTGCCAGAGTAAAGTCGATATCTCAATATGTTCACAAGTTGTCGTCTAGGAAAAATCTGGTCACGACTTCCTGAACATTCATGAACATGCACACCTACTGAAGGAATAGTTTAATTCATTTTTGCATTGCCTTAGCATGACTTTATCATTGCTTTATCACCAATAAATAATTACAATCATTGAAAAGCTCAAAAATGTATTAATAAATATTGACTTATCATCAGTGACTATTAAGTGATCTCAAGTAAATAAATGACTTTCTTTAGAGAACAGTTATAGACATGGACTAACTCTATGAACCATGAAACTATAAATCAAAAACTATTAATCTACTATAACTATGATGATTGTTTGATCAGTCATTAATTGAGTGTGGATTTGTCTCATCGTCAAGTTGAGTGGATACTTGGACTAATCATGTATGTTGATGTAGGGTAAATTGGAGCTTTGGGTGGACATGTTTCGCATCGATGACCTACCACCAAAACCACCCATAAACATTTCACCTCAAATCCCGGAGGAATACGAACTACGAGTTATCATTTGGAACACTGAGGATGTACCACTGTCAGACAATCAATTTTTAACTGGAGAAAAGTGCTCAGACATTTACGTCAAAGGGTAACATTTTCTCTTTATATCTAGATTTATATAATTTCACTCGTTTTTCTAACGTTAAGCTTACTAGAGATTTAATCACTTAATGCTCTTACAAATTATATAAACTCGGATGTTGCTTAAACTTGATTAAAACCACAACTCTGAACTCTGGTATTTGAAGTTTTATTAACCTTTTCTTTTTCAGTTGGCTTTTGTATGAAGATCTCCAGAAGACAGACATTCATTACAACTCGTTGACTGGTGAAGGTAATTTTAACTGGAGATTTGTATTCCGTTTTACCTATTCCAAGTCTGAACATCTCATGATTGTCAAGAAGAAATTGTCTGTTTTTGCAAGAGATGCAACAGAACAAAAGTTACCATGTAAATTTTATCTACAGGTGTGGGATAGTGATCATTTTTCTCCAGATGATTTTCTGGGTAAATTTTATTACAATTTAAATAATTATTAAAAAGTTCTTTTACTTTATTGAACTTTTATTATTTAATGACCAGGATATACTGGACCTTTCAAAAACCGTTTTATGTCTTCTATAAATTCTATTTCTACCTAGTTTGAACATTAAAGGATTTATTTGCCACAGGGTTGACTAAAGACAAGTATTAGAGTTAAAGTATCATAAATGTTTGGGTTAGACTTGGTTTTGCAATTTTTTATAGCTTTGGAGAATAATATATTATTTTTTGAAATTAAAAAAAAATATTTTCAATTAAGTTGGTGGAAATAAAATATAAAATAATAAAATTTAATATCAATTTCTAAATAAAATACTGGTTTTAAACATTAAAAATTATTTGATGTTTATAAAACATTTATTTAATTTAGTTAAATAAAAATGAAATAAAAAATATAGATTTTATGGATAAACTTCACATTAAAAAAATTATGTACTTGAGAATATAAAGAAGCTCAAAATTTTTTTTTTATTTATTCATCTAGTTTTACTATTCAGAATAGGATTGCATTTATTAAAAGCTAAAATAAAAACTAATTTTTTATTTTAGATAATTAAAATACTCAAAAAGTTAACACCTTAAATAGCACCAACTGTTCATTTTATTATTTTTTTTTCTAAAAAAAAAAATTATTATTTCCAATAAGTCTCTTCCCACTAACATTATTGAAAATCCTACTTATTATTCATACGTTTTTTATGCCTGAAATAGTCTATAAAGACGATCATTAATGATTTTAACATAATGACAGATTGACTATTTCCATAAGCTTTAGGCCAAGGATATCCTGGCTGACATGAATCTCTCTATGGCTTAAGTTCAGAAGAAATAAAAGTTTTTTTTTCCATGCTCTTACTTGGTTTTTGTCATTCCTTATCACCCTCTGAACGTTTAAAAGACAGAAGGGGATGTTTCTCACATGGTGAGAGCAATTCACCGCTGACAAAGCGACTTTTCTTTCTCTCAGGGTTATTTGAGATTTTGTGAAAGCCCAAAAATGTCGTATTGACTCTTATCAATCTATATGACTACTGCCCTACCATTAATCGCCCTCACAAATTCGTCTTCATAAAGTCTAATTCAAGAAGTCACGTTTTATATTAAATATCTTAAAAAAAAAATTATGAATAAAATTTATCTTTAAAAATAACTATCAATAGCTTGAGTAAGAAATAAATGATTTTATTCCAAATCGATTATTCTAATTATCATTTTAGGCTTCCTGACATTGGATTTATCTCGAATGCCTCGAGGAAGTACCAATTCAAAAAACTGTACATTAAAAATTATGGACCCAGCATCACCAACCATCAGTTTGTTTAATGTTAGACGAACAAAAGCATGGTGGCCATTCATGTATTCAACAAATGGAGAATATATTCAAGCGGTGAGCTTTTTCAAAAATTAATTAACATCAAACTGGGACAGGGTAGTCCTGAACAATTCTCATTAATTTGTTATTCTTTAAAAATAAGTGAATAAAAATTTCATTGGTTTATCTAGTAAGTAATAATATTAAAACTCTATTTAAAAAAGTAGTACACCATAATTAATTCCTTAAAGACAATTAGCTGAAGAAGTTAAGGAATTATGTTCATTTTTAGCTTCATTATTGGAACATGACGATACTTATTAAGACTCATAAACTTTTTTAGTAAATTCAAGTTAGGTTTTATAGATAAGTTGAAGACAGTTTAACATTATTATGTGAGGAAATTATTTTTAATTAATGACTATCAATGATTGACAACCAAAAAGTAGATCAAATTGTCAGGTTGCTTTCAACTTAAAGATGAAAATAAATAGCCAGATTGCGTCCACTAGATCATCCAGTAAATTATAATTTTATTGGAGATCAAGTTATTTTAGATCTGCTTAAGCCATAAAAATAAACAATAAAATAATGAAGGTTTTTTTTTAGAGCCATGGTTTATAAAGACCTAGATGCTAGCATTGCGTTAATTATTTATCATTAAACAGAGCGACCCTTATTTCCACCTGACATATAATTACATATCATATATTACGAAGAAAAATATAGATCCCTTGAGTACTCCAGAATTAAATCGAATGGAAAATTTTGAATATTTATTAATTCATTGGTAGAAAGCATACATCAAAGTATCATGAAAAAATTGGATTATTACAGTGTAGCAATTAAGATAATAACCTAAAGTAATGTGTTTATATGCTATTAATTAAAATGAATAAATATTTCAATAAAAAAGGAAATAATATCCAAAAATAGCTTAGTTATAGCACGCAAACTTCGAATGGTTAGCAGACTGTGAAGGGTTGGTTTATGGAGGTAGCTATTGGGGTTCTAGAAGTTTAGATAATAATCGGGAAAAGATAGAAATAGAATTATACTTGATAGTAAGTGTTAGTTATCTAAAGTTCCGAACAGCTAATTCATTGAATGCCACTAATTACTATCAGGAAGAATCTGGAGCAACCAATGATAAGGTTGAAGCTGAGATTGCCAGAGCTATACAATTATCGTATAACAAAGATTATCCAATGACAATGGAATCTATCATAGTCCTAATAATAGTCGATTCGAATTAGTACATGAGATTATCTGGTAGGAAGCATGAGTTTCAGATATATGTGTTCCTTTAACCTGTGTAAGACGGATATAATTGATTCTAATGACGTGTTTCGGTTATACTGATAATCATAGTGTTCATGATTCTCGCATTGCATGGATCAAGCACAGTTATTGTAAAAAGTCATCTCTTTGATCATATTTTAATCAATAATTCAACAATTATTCAACCAATGGAACAACACAATGTTGATTAAATTTACTGATAATTATGTGCTGCAATATAATAATAGAATTGATTGAAATTATTCTGAATGGTTTCTGTTATCAGCTTCGATACATCAGTTAGATGATTAATTTTAGGCTATTTGATGGAGAAAATTAGTGAGTGCGTGATAGTTCAGATATACTGACGGTAAAAGTTCGTGATTCTGTCATGGAATAACATGCTTGATAGTTGAGTGAGAAATTGAAATTTGATATATCATTTATATTACCTCGCAATCTTCGACGAAGATAAGTGAATCTTATTCTGGGATGGTACAAGCAATTAATCAACAACACTTATGTCATTTAGATATCCTGCAAGTGGAGACAAATAACAAATTTGCAGAACATTTGCAAATAGATTCTTTTATGAAAAAATTTTTCATATATTCAACGCATTTTATAATTTCGATGAATACTTTTTATATTGATATTCGTGTACCATTACTTTGTAAATTTTACTCTTATTTGAGTTATAAAATTCGCCACCAGGTGGCGCGTGCCTATTTAATGGATTCCTAATTGGAGTAATTCTTATTCTTCAATTATAAAGAATATTTTTGATTAAACATTCTTTTTTCTTATTTTAATTAATTTTCTTTGCTTATAAAAAATATTCTAAAATAATCCAGAATAAATCCGTCACAAAATAAAAATACAAAAAAAAAAATTACTTTTATTCCAAATTACACCTTTAGTGTAAAAACTCTAGTATTTTAGTACAAATTTTTTGTCTCTGATGGAAATATCCATTTCTAGTTTATTACATTTCAAGATTAACAACCACAGAGTAGATATGACTTCATTGTGAAGTAAATAACTTTTTTTACAGGTTAACTTTAACACTTCTATTTCTCTTCCACATGTGGGGAGAATGATTTGATTAAAGAAACCAGGAAACTATGTTGTAAATTTCTGTACTTTATATGTTACGTTTTATAGTTCTACATTATAACAGTGATATGACTTTACAGGGTAAAGTGGAAATGGAAATGACTTTGGTTCCCATTTCAGAAGCAGACGAGAAACCAGTGGGAAAAGGTCGAGATCCACCTAATCCTCTTGCACCACCAGAGTAAGTTTAAATCGATATTTGAAAAATGAAATTTATCCATTTTTATCTCTTTCAATTTACTAACTCATCTTTCAAAAAAATATTTTCATCAAAAAAATTAAATATAAATTATTGTTTTTTTTCCAGCTCATGATGATAATTTTCATCACAGCTTATTTGTAAATATCATCATATCATCTAATGTATAACAAATTGTATAATTTTATCGTTGTATAAGATAACATGTTATGAAGAGAAAGGATAGAACAATAGAGTGTTTTCATTCGTTAATGTGTTGTTGAAGAGAACTAAGCTCTTAAAATGTTGATTTTATCAACAATAATGAGATCGCGTGTTACTATTATTTTAAACTGATTTCTATACGCTGTTTTGTTAAGAATCAATTTTTAATATGAACGAAAGTTCTTATCTAAATATGCGAGACAAATTAGAAAATTAATATAAGTTTAAATTCACCCATTGATAATATAACAAGATAAACTACTCATTTAAATACAGTGTTAATAACAAACAGCGGTGTGAGTTCCACACAATTAACTTCTTAGTAAAAATCAATTTTTACTGATAATATTTTATTGTGATTAATAACAGTCAGTTATGATTAATATTATTAAATTATTATTAAAAATAGTTCACTGCTATCAATAACTTTCAATTTAAATTGACAATCCTTGATTGTTTATCTTTGAGATGCTTTTCCTGACATAGCACTCATGGAATAGTAATAGGATAGTTCAAAAAGTAGCTTTGATGGCTATAAAATATCTTAACAGCACTGAAGATAAATTGATTATAGCTAATTTCCAATGATAATTATTAACGAATCTCATTTTATTTAAACATGATTAATTGGTTCGAACAGAAATAAACATCAGAGTCGTGATTAGGTCATTGTTGACAAATGCTAAATTTTGACAATTTGTCTACCTTCCGATGGTCTTCATCTATTAGCTTATTCATCCTACTCTTCTTTTCATGTCAAGCATTAAAGATAATTTTTCACAACTCTCAAGATCTTAAAAAATGACGACAGATTGAAATTTTGAATTCCAATTTCCGCACCCATTTATAAAGTTTTTCTATTAAAAGTCAATAAATATTTACACTTTAGAAACCACAAAAAGTTTTTCCCTCTTGATAAAAAATTCTTTTAATGTCCAATAAAATTACTCGACTACTTTCAAAAGTTTTGCACACTGAAGCCTGAAATCTAAAAGAGAAAAAAAAAAATAAATTAATAAGAAAAAATAAAATAAACTTTAATAAATCTTATTTTATCTGTTACAGCCGACCTGACACTTCATTTTCCTGGTTCCGCAATCCATGGAAAGCATTTTGCTTTGTTGTTTGTCGTTATTATAAATGGCGCCTGGTTTGTTGTTGTTCAATATTCCTACTTATTTTACTTTTTGGCTGTGCACTCTATGCATTTCCGGGCTATCTTGTTAAACGGATACTGGGTGCTTGAACTGAAAATAAACTATTTTCATCATTCATATTGCTTCCGTATTATTTTATTTATGGTAAGCTTATTTAATTCTATAAAACTAATTGTATTTTCACTGTTGTTTATAATCTCCTTAAATGTTAAACATTCTCTATCATACAATCTCAGAATTCATCTCAACATTCCAATTCCTCATGCTACAAATCATATCCTAAAACAATAGTTATCATCACATTTAGATAAAACGTTATGCCAATATAATATCTACCCAATTGTTAGAGCTATCTGCTCAATTTACAGATTTAGAATTATGTCAGTTTTTTTTTGAGATAACATTGGTAAATTTAGTGAGATAGAATTCTGATTCAGCTGTTAGATATTGGAAATGCAAATTGAGCGTTGATGTGTAGTGCAAGCTATATGATTCTGATTTCACATATGTCAAGCTATTGGGTGGAAAGAATAGAGAGATAGATTTGAATGTTTAAATTACTGGTAAATAGACATAGTAAATAACTGAGAATATATACAGATGCAGGTGTTTGCAGGTTTTACTTGGAGTTCAAGGGGTGCTGAGACGTCAGGGAGTAACATGACCCAAGTGAGAAATCAATAACTCAACGTTTTACACCTGAGGAAGACATAATAATCACCATTCACTATTCATTACTGCAGTTATCTGTTGCGATGAAAGCTATTGAAAGGTCCTTGCCATCTGGTATAAAAGTGCGAGAGCAATGTCTTCAAGTTGACAACATGTTTATACGATATTGGAAGAGATGTTTGAACACAAAAGGGAGTTCAATGTTCACAGGTGACGCATTATTTTATGGTCCTGCTTTATAAAATGTTTGATAGCTCAACCCTTAAGCTTGATTTTTGATAATAAATTGTTTATTATCAAAATATCAATAACAGAATAGTTAACTTTTTAATTTGTCTGTAAAAGATGTGGTTTTTGTTAGAATCTGCAAGAAAGATTGAAATAGTTGTGTTGAATGTGAGATTTAGTAGTCATGTTTTTAAAAGATTATCATATTTATTAAACTTTAATGGAAAAGTGCAACATATTGTGTGCTTGAGGATATGGTATAAGTTCAGCATTCAATCTTCTTTTTGTATGAGATATTAAAGATTTTGATTACACGTACGATGACTTGATGAAAAATTACTACGCTATTTCAACTTGTTAAGAGTAAATACGTTCAAGAAGTATAAAATATTTGCTCAACCTAAAGAAAAGACTTAGTCTCCATATATATTAAATTTATTGTTGGCAGAGAATAAAGTGAACTTTATTACCAAAAATACATCACTTTCGGGGTACTTATTATCTTGATGATAATGGAGATATAGCTCAATTGTACCTTACTTTTAAGAACAGAGGACTTTTATACAGTATTCAAATTATATCAGACCTCTTTTTACGACCTTTTCTTACATAATTATTTCTCAGAAAATTAACGAATGGTATAATATAAGTTTTTAAACTTTCTTTCATGAAAATCAATAAAGAACAAAATCAAGAATAGTTTTATTCAATACAGCTATACTTGGACCAGATCTGGTTCAATTGAAATAAATGAATTATTTATCCATTTGAGATTAAATTTAAAAATAAAATATCTAATAATTCCATGATTAATTTAATGTATGTAATATCGATTACTTTTGTCAGTAAGAATTAAATGCAGTGATATGCAAAACCACCCATACTCTAGTAGGAAACAAGACTGGCCCATTCTTGGTCTAATATTGGACCAAGTTGGCTAGACTATATTAGCATTGGGCCAAGAACAACCTAGTCTTATTTCTTACTAGGGGATGTAAAATAAATTAAAAAAGCTGCCCTTAGCTTGTGCCAGTCCTGTTCAACTCGGATCCAAGCTTGCTATCATGATCCAACTTGGAGAAAATCTTGAAATGATAATTTTGTACCAGATCTAACATATAATATTAGTTCACTGCTGATGCTTTAATTGATGATCGATTATTAATCATCATAAATTAAATATTATTTATAAAAAAAATATTATTCGTTTGTAGAATTATTTTTTACTTGTCTTGTTGAAAAAGGCTGATTCTTTTTTTAAGATTTTCTTTATTCAAACTCTTTCATTATTTATTTCTCACAACTAAGCTTTTATTTTCTTGCACCCTTTTTTTTATTTCTCTTCTGTTCTCACTTTCTTTTGCTTTCGTTTCCCACAGTATTGAATTTTTTCATTATAAAATTTAATCATGCTTTATTTCGTATATTTTTCTTTAGTTTAATTTGAAGAATTCGGTGCAATGTGAACTATTCGCTATTCCTCTAAATGAAAAATGGCAGTTTAATTTGACAACAGTTGAATACACTGAAATTCTGATTTTGTGTAATCGCGTGCAGTGCATGCATTTGGTGCAGCCGTGGATTCTTCGAGTCGCCTGGCACAATTCCAATTATATTCAAACGACAGTTTCAGGTTACTACACTGGCGACATCAAAAAGTATCTTCTTTTTACTGCCATACTTATTCGTACCACCATTTTTTCAATCTAACATTTTACCCAGATAAAGAATGAGACAAATGTATTACGACAAAAAGAATATTTTATATCCCTACAAATTTTGCTGCATGAACAATTTCTATATTCAGTTATAAACTTAAAAATTTTAATCTACAATTGCCAGTCCAACAATATTTAATGGACTATGGTAATCGGTTTTATTATAGACCTAAAATCATTTATGTATTTGGGTTAACAAATTTTCAACCAATTATTAGACTTTTTTCTGTTTTATAAATGAATCTTCATTGAATTTATGATGAGATTTCAAATTAATAATCATGTTGATCCAAAGATTCAATCATATTAAACGGATTCTACAAAATGGTTAACTAGTTTCATTAGATTGAATAGCATGTTGAAGAGTTTAAAGTCAGCTCTGTCTCTAATTAGAGACCTTCATGAAACAAGTTCATAGCTTTGGTAGTCAGTTTTTTATCCTTAAGAGTAGATTTGCTCAAAAATTGGTTTTTAATATTAAATAAAGTGGCAAAAAGTCTTCTAAAACTTTAGCTACAAGAGAGTACAATCATCATCAAAGTAGAAAATGATTATTTGTTAATTTTTTTTAGTAAAAGCATTTCTGAATAGAGCAAGCAAAGACATAGACTTATACTAGCTAATTTTTTTCTCACACGCATACCTCTAACTCTCTCTAAGCAAGCAAAACAACTCTTGTTTACTTAGTCTCTCTTGGATTCAAAGTTCAATTTAAATTTAACAATCAATAAGAGTACAGAAATTCACACATCAATAATTTTTTTAATTTATCAGACTTTAGCTTGAGATTTAAAAACCACTTTGATATATTTTAATCTTTATTCTTCCAGAGTTCTACTAAATAGTTAATTTTTTTCGGTGGTGTTCATCTATTGATCTATTTGTTCTATCACATCCAATCACTTGATCACAAAAACATTCAAAAAAACAAAGCAGCCAGACTGTGACTCATCAATATTGATAATTCATTTGTTCTCCAAATGTATTTACCACAACAACTTCAATTAGATCTATCAATGTATCTAAACGATAAGGATGACTTAACTGGGCTCATAAAATTTTCAACCCTCGATTGGTTGTATGGTAAGACTTGACAACTTTGTCGCATGGTCGAAGAACAACCACAATGCTCTTTAGCTTGAGATATTGTATTGCCAAATCGACCACTGTTCATTTTATTGGGGTATATTTTCATAAGAATCAATGACTGGAATGGAGGGGAAATTAAGTTAAGTATTGACGATGTTTAGAAGGAAATATTACTAACATTTTCTTTGATGTTTTTATTAAAACACATCAAACAAATATCATCAAAATTTCTAGAAGGTTTAGAAAAAAGGTTTAATTCCCCAATCATACTTTCAAGCACACTTGGTATTTCAGTAGTAATGAATAAAAACATCACTGAAAAAAAAAACGATTCGAGGGTGACTGGAAAATGTTTGTGTCTGATAACAATACTTGTTCTCATTGATCTACAAAACTGCAGTTTTATTCTATTCACTAAACTTTTTGCTATAGAAAGACTAGCATTTTAATGCTATAAAAATCTGTTTTCTACCTATGAGAATATTCATTCTTCTCTTTAGAATACAGACTTATATGAAATAAAATACCACATTCAACTCAAACGGTTCTTTCAAGTAGCTGAAAACTAGAATACTTTGAAATCTATAAGTTAAATTTCACGTATGGTCAAATACTCTGTATTTTTTTTTTAATATAAAAAAAATTGTTTTTGTGAATTGGATTCAATGAATTGAATACCAACCATAGACTTCAGAGGCAACAAATATTTTATTTTTTGAGTGTTTATTGATAAATTAGGTGAGTAAATAATGGACACATTAAATAATAAAAAATGATAAATAATTTTATACTGAATGAGAATAGAAATATTGACGTAATGATCTTTATTTATGATTTATAAATTATCTAATAAATTCTAATGATCTTTTATATGTTTACGTTATTCTAGACATAATACTCAAGAACTAAAAATATTCTTTATTGTCTCATTAATGTTTCATCATTCATTAATTATTTTCTTTATAGCTTTCCTTATTATGTACTGAGGCCGTTCATGATTATGACGTTAATATGACTAATGAATGAATAAATAAATTAATAAATAAATGAATAAGGTTGAATAGCTTTAATATGTCTATTATTCTGATATATGAGAATTTATTGATCAACAATAATAGGGAAACTATAATTGATATCATAATAAAACAAACTCAAAACAAAAATAAAAATAAAAAAATTGAAAACCAAAAAATCAATTTGGCAGATAACCAATGTTTGGAGTTGAATGACAGAGCCAACCCTTGTATAGATGGACAAACATATCAACTCAACAGCGAGTTGTTCTCTGAATTAATGATTTTGTGGTTGATGTGAATGGAAAAATACTTCTCCTACACTGAAAAAAATTTATACTTGTAGGAAGTATTTAAAGTATTGTTACAGACGACAGATAGCTTTAATAGCTTTGAATACAGACACTTAAGTAAAAAAAAAAATTGTTTAACCTTCTAAACAAAACTAACAGGATAATATTTAAAATAGCTGCAAAAACGATATTTTCAAAACAACTATTTCAGATATTGTCAATCAATTATTTAGATAATCCCTAGAGCTATCTAAGGAGATAGGTAATCTAAGGGGTATGGTATTATTCCTACAGCTATAAATTATTTTCACTGTGGTAATTTGTTCATTAATGTTTTCATTGATGCTATCAACAACTGATACAACTTTGACAATCTTGGAAATAAAAAGATTTCATTTACTGGTTGGAATTCAGTCAACTTTAATTAATTTAGTAGACACACAATGACGTGATGCTCATAATAATTATTATAGGGATAGAAGATGAAATGAAGAATGGTGTCGAAAAATCAATCGAGAACGAATCAATAGTATCATTTATCTTTCTGTTTTATATGTATTGAAAGCCGATTATAGGCTCACACAAAAATTTCAAGAATAGAGTCACTAAAAATATAAAGCTTCATAGACAAGAATGATTTTTAATACCAGAC